CTTGAGATCGGGCTTCGGCGTGTCTCACTCGGTCGTCATCGAGTCGAGACTCGCGCTGTTCGGCCGTCTCCTGAGATCTGGCCTCAGCGTTTCTCGACCGCATATCGTCGAGTCGAGATTCGCGCTGTTCAGCCGTCTCTTGAGATCGGGCTTCGGCGTGTCTCACTCGGTCGTCATCGAGTCGAGACTCGCGCTGTTCGGCCGTCTCCTGAGATCTGGCCTCAGCGTTTCTCGACCGCATATCGTCGAGTCGAGATTCGCGCTGTTCAGCCGTCTCTTGAGATCGGGCTTCGGCGTGTCTCACTCGGTCGTCATCGAGTCGAGACTCGCGCTGTTCGGCCGTCTCCTGAGATATGGCCTCAGCGTTTCTCGACCGCATATCGTCGAGTCGAGATTCGCGCTGTTCAGCCGTCTCTTGAGATCGGGCTTCGGCGTGTCTCACTCGGTCGTCATCGAGTCGAGACTCGCGCTGTTCGGCCGTCTCCTGAGATCTGGCCTCAGCGTTTCTCGACCGCATATCGTCGAGTCGAGATTCGCGCTGTTCAGCCGTCTCTTGAGATCGGGCTTCGGCGTGTCTCACTCGGTCGTCATCGAGTCGAGACTCGCGCTGTTCGGCCGTCTCCTGAGATATGGCCTCAGCGTTTCTCGACCGCATATCGTCGAGTCGAGATTCGCGCTGTTCAGCCGTCTCTTGAGATCGGGCTTCGGCGTGTCTCACTCGGTCGTCATCGAGTCGAGATTCGCGCTGTTCGGCCGCCTCTTCGGATCTAGCTTCGGCGTGTCTCACTCGGTCGTCGTCGAATCGAGATTCGCGCTGTTCGGCCGTCTCCTGAGATCTGGCTTCAGCGTTTCTCGATCGCATCTGTTCGAGTCGAGAATCACGGCTTTCTTGTGATTCTGAGGCCCTCAGAGCAGCAAGCCGCAGGCGAGTTTGCAAGAGACTTGCCTCACGCTCTTCCAGCGTTTGCGTTGCCCTCGCCTCGGCTATTCTGGCACGATTGCCTTCTAGCCGTTCCTGGCGCTGCTCCGAGGTCTCAGCCTCTCCTTGATCCCTGACCTTTTTGGCCTTGGGATCAACTCTTCCGATGGATGCACGCTTCTTCGGCGGCATCCTGTGATGAGAGCCTTTAGGCTATAAGCTACTCGGTACCCGAGATATGGGAGCCTGTCGGCTTCTCGGTACTCGAGATAGAGCCTTTAGGCTTCTCGATGCTCGAGGTGGAGCCTGTTGGCTTCTCGGTGCTCGAGATGGAGCCTGTTGGCTTCTCGGTACTCAAGGTGGAGCCGTTGGCTTCTCGGTACTCGAGAAAGAAAGAGCCTTTAGGCTTTGTCGCTTGGTCCTCAGATCCTAGGTCCTTTATCAGGTCCTCAGGTCCTTGGATCTTCGGTCCTCGCTTGGTACTCAGAGCTCTCGGTGGTTTAGTGACCGCCGGCTAGCAGAGGTGAGTGACCAACAATGGCGAGATCGGCCGCCTTATACAGGGTGTCCCAAAAAGATGTGCACACTGTTTGATTGTTAATAACTCTCTTGCTTTCATGTCTTTTGCCAAGCTTGGGGTACCATTCTTTAGAGCGAGGTTCAACTTAGATTTACGGTATGGAGCGATTTATAAGCAGCTTTTCATTACTGTAGGATTACGGTAGGAATTTCGGAAAGGATTTTGAGCCATTGGAAGCAGTTTTTTGCCTCAGAAAAAAGCCAAACAAGCCAGAAACTCATGAACTGGGTCACTCGGAGTTGCTAGTTCTAATTATGAAAATTGCACGTCAGTACACTGTTTCTTTCATGGATTATATCAGATTTAGGGTAACGACTGATTTTCCAATATTTGTTAGAAATGTGAATACGCCATCAAGAAAGCTCGAAAAACTGGTGGAAAGTTATGTAGTAAAATCAGCACGCTTGAAAACCTTGTTACACAATTTTTTAGATTTTTTCGAAGTTTTTTCATCAAAAGGCTTATTCCACATTGACGCTGTATGCTGAGAGTTTTTACCGTGATCCTACAGTAACGAAGAGCGATTGGTGATTCGCTCCATATCGTAAATCTAAGTTTGTCCTCGCTCTATAGAATGGTACCTCAAGCTCGGCAAAAGACTTGAAAGCAAGAGAATTATTAACGATCAAACAGTGTGCACATCTTTTTGGGACACCCTGTATACCCCTCGAAAAGGGGCGGGGCCGGCTGTGATTGGTCACAGCAACTCGGAAGGGGCGGATAGTTTTTGTATGGAAAGCCTATGCTTAACCACACGAATTGGACCGCTCACTTTGGATCGCCCCTTGCCCCGCTCCCTTGGAGGGGTATATAAGGCGAGGCGTCGCGGCACCGGTCATTTCCGGTGGTTGCCTCGTGCCGGACGGTTGCCTCACTCGGAGGACAACCATCAGATGCCTCACTCGGAGGACATCCACCAGATGCCTCACTTAGAGGACAACCATCAGATGCCTCACTCGGAGGACATCCACCAGATGCCTCACTTAGAAGACATCGGATGCCTTACTCGGCGGACAATTATCGGATGCCTCAATCGGAGGACAACCATCGGATGCCTCAAGCGGAGGACAACCATCGGATGCCTCAAGCGGAGGACAACCACTCGGTTGCTTCCACTCGGAGGACAGCCTCAATCGGAAGACATCCACCAGAGATGCCTCACTTGGAGGACAACCATCGGATGCCTCGCTCGGCGGACAACCACACGGTTGTTCTCCTCCATTCGGAGGTACAATCACTCGGTTGTACCTCCTCCATTCGAAGGTACAATCACTCGGTTGTACCTCCTCCATTCGAAGGTACAATCACTCGGTTGTACCTCCTCCATTCGAAGGTACAATCACTCGGTTGTACCTCCTCCATTCGAAGGTACAATCACTCGGTTGTACCTCCTCCATTCGAAGGTACAATCACTCGGTTGTACCTCCTCCATTCGAAGGTACAATCACTCGGTTGTACCTCCTCCATTCGAAGGTACAATCACTCGGTTGTACCTCCTCCATTCGAAGGTACAATCACTCGGTTGTACCTCCTCCATTCGAAGGTACAATCACTCGGTTGTACCTCCTCCATTCGAAGGTACAATCACTCGGTTGTACCTCCTCCATTCGAAGGTACAATCACTCGGTTGTACCTCCTCCATTCGAAGGTACAATCACTCGGTTGTACCTCCTCCATTCGAAGGTACAATCACTCGGTTGTACCTCCTCCATTCGAAGGTACAATCACTCGGTTGTACCTCCTCCATTCGAAGGTACAATCACTCGGTTGTACCTCCTCCATTCGAAGGTACAATCACTCGGTTGTACCTCCTCCATTCGAAGGTACAATCACTCGGTTGTACCTCCTCCATTCGAAGGTACAATCACTCGGTTGTACCTCCTCCATTCGAAGGTACAACCACTCGGTTGTACCTCCTCCATTCGAAGGTACAACCACTCGGTTGTACCTCCTCCATTCGAAGGTACAACCACTCGGTTGTACCTCCTCCATTCGAAGGTACAACCACTCGGTTGTACCCCCTCCATTCGGAGGTACAACCACTCGGTTGTGAGGACAACCATCGGTTGCCTCTGTCGGACAACCGAGGTTGTAACAAAAATTGAACCACTGGCTCAACACCTCCGTCGAGGTGAGCCACTCGGCCACCTCAGTCGAGGCGGAACCCGCGGTTCACTCGGTGAAAACGCACGAATATATCAATACTCGGTGAAACCGGAATTTTTACAGAAAAATCAAAAATGCTTGTATCTCGTTTCAGAGACATCCTGGGAGCTTGCGTCAAAAACACGTATATGCTAACTTTTGATGGCCAATCCAGCGGTGCTACTCAAATATTTTTTTCTCCTTCTCATTCGAACACGCCATCATGATTTCCTTCCAATAAATTTAAAGAATCCCCGGAAAAACGGTTTTTTTTCTCAAAATATTTATGTATGTTTGCCCACATATACAATGTGTGCATGCAAAAATTCAACAATTTGTCTAGGTCTATTAGAACCTGAAATTCAAAAGAGTGTTTCATAAATAAAACTTTTACAGAGTACGCCAAAAAATCTTCAAATCCAGACTTCGCCAAATCAAAATTGTTGTGATTTTAAATGATCGGTGTACTCTTTCAATACGTTTGATCGTGGCATTAGCACTCTAATTATTTTAAAGAGGCTGTTTTCTAATTAGCGCACTCGCTTACCGAAATCCAGTCTCAGATGAGAGGAGAAATATTTTGATGCAGGATTGAGGATGAGAAATAAAGATTACCTCGTTTGAATCAGCTTAACTAAGTACCAACTTACATCTTTCTAATCCAAGGCTCTAAAAAACAAGGTATTGGATATTCTCACAAACAGCTACCGTAATCAGCATGCTCAGTTACCCCACCGTGCCAACTCCCAGTCCCGTAGCTTGAACTTTGCAGAAAAATCGATAAAATCTATAAAAGTAGTGGACGATTTCAAAAACTAATATTGTATCTGTAATCAGCATGCTCGATTACCCCCCTGTGCAAACTCCCAGCCCCGCATGTCAAATTTAAAAAAAATCGATAAAATCGATAAAAGTAATGGACGATGTTGAAAGCAAATATTGTATTCGTAATCAGCATGCTCATTTACCCCCCTGCGCAAACTCCCAGCCCCGCATGTCAAACTTTACAAAAAAAATCGATAAAATCGATAAAAGTAATGGACGATGTTGAAAACAAATATTGTATTCGTAATCAGCATGCTCGATTACCCCCCTGTGCAAACTCCCAGCCCCGTAGGTGAACTCAGCAAAAAAAATCGATAAAAATCGATAAAATCGATATCGATCGATGACGAAAAGTAGCCTATGACACCCGCCGAGGCCCGAAGTGTATGTGTGCCAAGTTTGGTCCGGATCGGTTCAGAAATAAAAATTTCTATTCGGAACCTACGTACATACAGACAGAGATACAGACATACAGACAAACAGACATTCAGCTTTATATATAAGATAGACCTAATGGCTAATATCTTACAGGCATGTCCTAACTGCGGACGGCCAAGCTCGAAGTATAGTATCGGATTGTGGCAAGAAAGGAAAATGCTTGAATGGACAGTGTGTTCTTGATAGTGAGTTTAATGTTACATAAGAGCTCTACACAGCTTTCGCACCCTTATAGAATTGAAAGCACCTCCATTTTCCTAGCCATGCCTTGGGAAGGTTGATGCCATGAACTCAACTAACCTTTTTTACAGGATGCATCGGTGTGACATGTGCAGAAGGTGAGATGTGTCGGGATGGAGAATGCAAGAAAGTATGTGTTTACTTTATTAGCAAACTAGTATATCATCAAAGAGAAACCTTTTATCATGCCACGGATTCTGTTGATTAATGGTAGTCTGATGTTACGAGAATGAAGAATTCGGAAGCATAGGGAGCATATCAAAGGATTTTTGAGCAATTTTGTTAATCTTAATATATTGTTTCAACGCTATAATTGTGTCTAGATTTCAGATTTTCTAGAAACTGTCCGTATCAAAACTTTTTTCTTTTTTAAATCAAACTTGAGATTCACTTATGACAATGTCTATAATTTAGGTAGCCGATACATTTTGCCTGGGTCATGCAGACTGCGGTCCTGATATGGAGTGCCGAACAAATCGTTGTAGAATTAAGTACGCGCTCTGTTCACATATTGTATTTGTTTTACTGAACCAAAAAAATTTTCTACTTTTTAGAACTCCTGAGCCAATCTGTAATTGTCAACCGCACGAAATCTGTCACCATGGCCAGTGCTATCCAAACTCGCGTAAGTTTCATACTTTTTTGTTCGTCCCAATGCAAGCTGCGTTCAGAGTGTACATCAATTTATTGTGGCAAGGGATCGTACTGTGTTGACGGCAAATGCGTGAACGGTAAGAATTCCCATTACAGTTGTAGCACTGCTACAGAAAGGATAGCAGGCGAACGAGTATAGCATTGCAGGAGTAGGCGTTGATTGTCGTGAAGAAAACTGCCGTGGCGGAACTGTCTGCGTGAACGGAGTTTGTGTATTGGATCCATGTCCGGCAAGGTGAGATAACAATAACAAAATGTCGACATCGAAGAAATGATTTGCCTTCGGTTTTTGCTTGGCATTTTTTGTCAACGACTCATTTATTGTCAACAACTTCTCTGCATACATTACTGTCTGCTCATTATTTGAGAGGATGTTTGTGTGAGGCTATGACAAATGTGAGTGAGGGAGCCAGATCTCAAGATTTGTTAAACTTTGCACTGAGTTATTCGATATGTTCACCACGAATACGGTGTATTCTTGTTGGGTCAACCCCCCCCCCCCCCACCCTTCTCCCTTCCTCCGCGCTGTTTAGGTGTAGTTGAATCGTTGACCGCGCGGACTGAACATCGGAGCGTTTTCTCTCGCGGAGCATGCGCCGCGAGGTAATACGCTTGCACCGGTACGAATTCGCCATTGTACAAGTCATGCTCTCGCGACATCCGCGCCGCGCGTGGTCCGCAGCGCCTGAGCAGTCCGTGCTGTCAAAAAATCGGCGATCAAGATGCGCACCAACCCGTATTTACCCTATACTGCAAAAAGAGTCACCGAGGTAGTCAGCAGCTGGACGTTGATTCATTTGGACTAAATTACAACCAATTTTGTGTTTCTCCTCATAACGCAGCAGAAACTAAACGTCCTTACATTGTGATTGAGTGTGACTATCATCATTGTCAGTGTGCCCCTCTACTCAAATCAAACCATGATTCTGTGTTTTGAGATCCAACAAGACCATAGTACTCCATTCTACACAAAGTCAAATCAGAAAATTACCAATATTTTTATTCGCGTAGTACTTTTGCTTAACAGCAGACGCATATAGTGCATAATGCAAGATGCACACCTTGCTTCTTCTTTTGAAGTTCTCTCCATAACTGGAGGAATTTGAGAACTGGTAGCTTTAACACGTTTCGGACCGCGAAATCGGCGCGGCGAAAAAAATGCACTTTCAGCCATTATCCAACAAAGGGACCTTATTTCGTAGACTACATATGTGCTACATCTGTAATCAGCTTTTCAGATAAGTTCCATATCCAAAGTTCTGGGTGAATCGAAGTGTTCGAATTTTGTCGGTTGTGAAAAATTCCTGTGCTTTCTTGAAAAATAGGAACAAGAACTCAGCTCCTAATAATATCCAAAAGTATCTATGTTGTAAGCGATACTCAACAGTATTCAAACTACGGTTTTTCTCTCTGAAATCGAAGCAAAGGAAAGTTGCGACGTCGCACGCGTCGTTCGCTTTGCCGCACTTCATTGCAACTGCTGTTCAATTTGTGCTCATATCTCCTAAACAAATATCGGCACAACTCTACAGCGTCATTTGATAAATAGAAGCTTAGGCCTTTGACTTGATAATTTTGGACTAAAAGAAAACATCCTGTAATCGTCAAAAAGATCCTGTAGAGGAGCGTGCTGCACCATGTGCAGCACCGGTCCGAAAACGTGTTAACTGACATCCGCAATTTCACAGAACACAGATTCATGTAATGTATCGTCGAGTCATTCGTAACTTAATGTGCATATTGCACACCATGTGTGCTAATTGACGGATCGCGAAATTAGAACCTGCTCATTTGCAGTTATTTCTCCTGATTTCCCAGTCTGTTTTTGTCGGATGTATGTTAGTCAGTATAACATAACTCTACAGATTGATAGGCTAGAAAATCTTCTACTGAAAAGTTAGTAGTGAAGGTGCCGTCGCAATCGCGCATAGTGTGCATTCTCACATAATAAGTTACAAATGACTCGAGGATAACTAATTTCAGTTGTCCGCTCGATCAGTCGTGTAGACTAGGAGAATGCCGCATTGTGGAGGGACTACCATGTGTGGCCGAGTGCGTTGGACCGTACAGCTGTATAGATGGACGCTGCAGAAGAAACGGTACTGTAGTAGGTTGATGTACGATCGGTGAGTCAGCGTGTATGCGGTGTGGACTGTGATTGTACTGTGTGTTGTTGATCGATCGGCTGCCACGCGGGACTTACGCACAGCGAGTACACCTCAAACTTGGGTAATTAAACTTTTATTATAAAAATACTAACTAACCACTACAAAGTGGGTACGATAGTAGCACACAGGAATATATGTTCAAGATGACAGCCGGATATTCTGTGAATTGCTGTGAGGGCTTCCGTGAACTGAGACACTGTGCGGGATCCGTGACAGACTGTGAAAGAAGCAAGAAAATGTGTACAATAAGAAATACAAAGCATGACACAAAGGTAAAACAAGTAAGGCAAAACAAACAAGATGAGACACATTATGTTAACTACGCTCTGTCACCTACTTTTATATGCGAGCGATTATAAACAAAATACCAGTATGCATGAGAATATCACAGATAAGCCAACAGCTAACAAAACAACAGATACGAGCTTGTGAGAAACTTCGCGCTTCTGTCGTTGTTAGTCATGCGGAATTCTTCGGGCGCAAAGTACAATACGAACATGGATCGTATACTCCGGCCTCAGCAGACGAGTGGAGTAACACCATTGATGGTGAAGTAGTCGTCGAGGTAGTTGTTGACTTTGACTTCCGTGTCGCTGCTCGTAGCTCTGCTTCTTTTTGGCGGATTCTTTCCTTCGTTGGCATTACATCGAGTTGCTTTGTATCCTTGCTTGTCAATCTCCCGTGGCGCATGAGTTGACCGTCGTCGCAGTCCGGATCCACCAGGATCTCCCATAACAGCCTCCCCTGTGGCTTTCTGTGGTGCTTCGTCTATCTGGACTGTAGGAGCGGTTTTCCACCTGTGGGTTGATTTAGGTCGTACTGCATTTCCGAGCAGCGGTTATTGCCTTCTTCCGGCGACTTCTTCAATCCTCCTTCTGTATCGTATCGGACTCGGTTTTTCTGCTGCTGTTGTGAGCGCCATTGGGAGTTGGACTCTGCTTCCATGTCTATGAGCGTCGTCCTGAATCCATCGAAAGCCATGGCGAGCACTCCAATCGTGTAGTATAGCGTTTTCCTGATGCAGCGCATTACTCTCTCGTAAAACGTACCCTGCCACGGTGCGCAAAGAGTAGTATGACACCTCCTTTTCGTCGTGCTACTTCGCTTTGGAATTGTGTGCTGTGTACCATGTTTCCTGTGGCGTTTCCGGAGATTTGCTCACTCGACAAACCCTTTGGTGTTTTGTCCGTGATGATAGTCCGCGTTACTCCTTTTCTAGCATGAGATCTCCGAACCTCTGTGCTGTTCATCAGTCGTTTCTGGGTTTGCTTCTGTGCGCTGCTCTGTTTCCCGTCAGAACTACTGTGTCCCACATTGCTGTGCTTTGCTCGTTTCGCATTGCGTGTAGAATGATACGAATGGAATTCGTATACTCCCGCCTCACCGACAAGTTTGCGACTGAGATGTTCTGGTTTTGTTTTGGGCCCTCCTTTGACTGCCGATGTGATGCCTCTCCAGCTGTTGCTTTCCTTTTGAGGTTCCATTCCGGCTGCGACTCCTTCGAGGTGTTCACTTTGCTTCTTAGAGTTTCGCTTCCTCTTCTTCGCTTCTTTCTTCGACGTTTGCTGTCTTATACGAGCCGCTTCCTCTTGTGCCTTCTTGTGTTCGTGGTGAAAATTTTGTCGGCTAGAATTACTCCCGTTTCTCCTGTCCCGCGCCATGACGGTATCATGGCGCTGGCACATACTGTACACCCACTCTCGCAATTCTTGGTACTGCCGTTCAACCTCCTTCTTAAAGTCCATAAAGTCCTCCTGCAATCTGTGGATCGTTTCTCCTTCAGTGTATTCGCTCGTTTCGGTGTCACTTGAAGAGAGAGAAGCCGTTTCTGATCGCACATTAGCAGGCTTTACGGGCGCGTCTGTGGAAGTAAGGTTGACTGGTGGGTGTGTTTCTTTGTCGTGGTCCAAACTGGAGGACGAGAACTCCTTTCTCCTTGATACGGCTGACTGTGCCTTTATTGCTTTCGTGGCTTCATTGTCAGAACAAAAGTGCGATGCGATAGCAGTAGGTGCCCTTTCCTTGAGCTGTAGGACTGCCAGGGTTGTACTGTGCGCTGCTCCGCTTGTTAGTATAGGAGTTTCTTCTCCAGTCATTTCGGTTGCGTCCTTTACCACATTTGCTGCCTTTTTTGGCTGGTTTTGCATTTCCGCTGCTTCTGCGTGATTTTGGCTTTCGGGTGAAGATTCGTTCCCATTTCCTGACTCTCGCGAAGTATTTTCCATGCAGATGACCGTGTGGTGTTTTCTGTGGCACTTTCTGCAATTGCCGCTAGGGCATGATGCTATTCTGTGACTTGAGGATCCACAATTGAGACATCTGTTTGTTTCTAACAGAAATCTTCTTTTTTGTGTTGCTGTGCTTATTCTCGGGCAGGTTGTCCATCTGTGCCCTCTATTTCCGCAGCATTCGCATGGGGTTTCGCGCTTCCAGTTTTTCTCCAGATCTGGAAGTGTGTTGATGGTTGTTGTGTCTTGCAACGGAGGACCTGTGAATTGACCGTCGATTGAGAGCATATGGTTCATTTGTTCTTCCTGTGAAATGATACCGTCAATGGTCTCGAGCCATTGGTCCAGCGTCCACTCGGACTGGTGCTCTTCTTGGTCTCTCAGTCTTCTTTCAATAGCCGCTTTCCTTATGCGTTGATGAAACTTTTGAAGAAAGATCTGGATGGATATTTGATTATCGAGATGTTGACCGTATTCTTCTAGCTGTGCGGCTATCGTTGACAATTCGTCCCACAACCGTCGCTGTTCCGAGGTACTGGGCTTGCTACACAGTTGTGTAGGCTTTTGTTCAACTCTAAGACGATGCCGTCCTTATTGCCATACCTCTTGATAAGGTGTTGGATGGCCTTCTCATAATTATTTGCTGAAACGAAGAAGCGTGAAACTGATTGTTTCGCCTCCCCACTCAGGGAGGCCAGCAAATAATTGAACTTTTGAAGCTGTGACAAGTTTTGATCATGGACGTTTGCTTTGTACAAGGCCCAGAAGTTATCCCATTCCCATTTTCTTCCTGTGAATGTAGGGATTGGGATTACCGGGAGTCTACTGACTGCAGATGGGCTTGACCGGTCATCTGCCTCTATCCCGATGTCTTCTAGGGTCTCTTCTAGCTGTGTCCTGTGATCATGCAGCTTCATTATCGTTGCCTGGGTTTTTTCTATGTACTTATCCAAGTGATCTTCCTCCTCTTCTGTGGTCTCTGGAGCTTCATCAAAAGCCTTCGTTAGCTTTGTCAGTGATGTCTCGAGAAGCTCAATGTATCTCTCACAGGTTTTTATCCTCCTTGCGCTTTCCTTGGCTTGTATGTCTGCGAGCGCTTGGGTGGAGTCCTGTAGCCAGTTTACCGCTGCGTCGTTCCTTTTAGTAACAAGTCCTTTTAGTGATCTTACAGTACTGCTCATTGTTAGTTGAGTTAGTGATGTAAGATACTGTGATGGCTATGCGGAAACTGTGATTCTTACTGTGAGGGATCTGTGAGATCTGTGAGATAGCTGTGAGGCGAATTTCTCCGTGACTCGCTGTGCAAACTGTGCTAACTGTGAGGTGAGTAACGTGCGGCTTATTAGTTGGAAGCGTTACTCGTTAGCAACAAATAGTACCTCAATTCGGCCGATGCACCACTTGTACGATCGGTGAGTCAGCGTGTATGCGGTGTGGACTGTGATTGTACTGTGTGTTGTTGATCGATCGGCTGCCACGCGGGACTTACGCACAGCGAGTACACCTCAAACTTGGGTAATTAAACTTTTATTATAAAAATACTAACTAACCACTACAAAGCGGGTACGATAGTAGCACACAGGAATATATGTTCAAGATGACAGCCGGATATTCTGTGAATTGCTGTGAGGGCTTCCGTGAACTGAGACACTGTGCGGGATCCGTGACAGACTGTGAAAGAAGCAAGAAAATGTGTACAATAAGAAATACAAAGCATGACACAAAGGTAAAACAAGTAAGGCAAAACAAACAAGATGAGACACATTATGTTAACTACGCTCTGTCACCTACTTTTATATGCGAGCGATTATAAACAAAATACCAGTATGCATGAGAATATCACAGATAAGCCAACAGCTAACAAAACAACAGATACGAGCCTGTGAGAAACTTCGCGCTTCTGTCGTTGTTAGTCATGCGGAATTCTTCGGGCGCAAAGTACAATACGAACATGGATCGTATAGTTGACACAAGCTAAGTGATTTCTGCTGTGCGAACAACAGTTGCGCTCAAAAAGTGTCCATGGGCGCAAACTCAAAAATGTGCTCACTGAAATCTTTTTTACCGACGAGTGTTGTCAAAAGATGAAGATATCTTAGCCGTCGAATAAACTAGTCATAGTGTCTCCTGATAGAAAGGCCTTTTTCGTTCAGACTGCGAACGGAAGGTGTGTCAGCTGGGCGAAGCTTGCGAAGGCGGTCAGTGCCAGCGAGTGACCGGTCGCTTCTGCACCTGGGCTCCACGCGACTGTGGCCATGCCTTTATCTGCAAGGACAACCAGTGCATTGACCTCCTCACTCCAGCGACGACGTTACCACTGCAACAGGACAATCGCTTGCCAAACAAGTAGATACTGAACGCCATCTGCATCCGTCAGTCCTGCGAACTATACACTTTTTCTCTATAGTATTTACTTCAAAAGTCATTTGCATCTAATGCAATAAGCAAATAAATTATTCCGCCTTGAATGAGCATAAAAGGCCCAAGAGTTGTCAGCTTGCCAAGAAAAGTTTGGTTGGTTTCCTAGGCTACTTTTCACTATATTGGGTTGATTCACAATTAATGCAAGTGCAATGTTCATAAAGCTCTGGATCTGATTTATTACATTGCCTACATGGTGATACAGCTTTTGAAACAACTTCTGATTCTCCCTAATGATGCATTTGCGATTTGGAACTCAAAAACTTCGCATGAAAATTACCTGCGAGTAGAAGATTCGATATGACCCTAAATCTCCTTATTTCCCTCTGTGTTTTATGTCATAGTTCACCCGATGAATGAGATCAGCTAGGATTTTGAAGTTTCAAGCGTCTCCTGTTTTATCTCGTAATCTGAGTTGGCTTTGATTGTGCAGGGTGCTCCACTCAACATTCAGTGGATGTTAACTGGGCTGAACTAAAGTGCTCGAACCCGAAATTTTTTCCTGGCCATGCGCACAAGTTCACTGTTGTATTGCTGTCGTAATGGCATCACAGTATTTTCTGTTGCTTGAAAATCGAGCGTTTGTGGTGCAAAAGTGCGTCAACCCTATGGTGAGGTTGGAGTTTGTCCGTCAATACCAGCGATTACGCAGAGTTTATGGAAGCGCTCCTCAGCTCATCTATCGAAAATGCTCAGTAGATTTTATTGCTATCATTTGTAATAAACAAGGGCTTGAAAACTCCTCAAACCAGCTTCTTGTTGAAGCAGATTGACTTTTGATGCTTTTGAAAGCAAAAAATGCAATAATCGCTTCTATTTAAGTAGGATGACAGGCCGTAGGTGTTGCAAATGTTTCGTATGTTAGGATGTAATTGTAGAAAAAAAATTTGAAATTCAACAATGGATAGTGATCAGAAAAACCAGGTGGCCTTATAATTCCAGCTTTCAATAAGGGTTTTTCCAAATTTTTTCGTTTTTCTCCGTTCAAACTCAAAAAACTGGAAGCCGTTTTGAGGGGTCATGGTAGGTTGACATGCGCACAATACAGTAAAGTTTCAGACAGATTCATTGACAAGAACGAAAATTACGACGATTCCTAGAGTGGCTTTATAATTATGTCCAGCACTGTAGGTACAAAACGGTTCCTAATAATAGGCAAAGTATTTTACGATTCTTTTGACGTCAGTGGTGGAATGAAGCACCCTGCAATGTGCTCTAAGCTTTTCAGTGAAGCTAATCTTTCTTTGCAGAAGCATACCCAGCCGATAGAAACTTGGCGTAGATCCAAAAATTCTCGAGCTCGAGAAAAACTTTTGCAAAGTCTTTTTCATTTTAAGCGTCGTTGTCCAAGCTCCAAATCATGTCTATACTGTTCGCTAAATGAGCTCAAAGACCACTCAAATTCCACAAATAAACAAACTAAATGAAATTTTTGTGGTAACTTCAATCACTTAGTTGCCTAGTTTTCTCTCAGTAAAGGAGTCAGGACAACGAACAGGCATTTTTTATGCACTCAGCTTCTATTGTTTTCTAGATAAAATTGAATAGCGCACATAAATGAAGCCTCTATAAGATACAAAGTTTACAGAGCAAACCAAAAGCGCAGCTTGTTTTGAGGGAATTGCTAATCTTTAATGCTAACCGATTTTTTTTCAATGGCATCCATTATTGCTGAAAGCTTTTCTGGGAAAAAGTCATAGATTCACAAAAAAATGCATAAATGCAGAATGGTGAAAGGATTCGAGCCTCCGATGAGATACAGCGTTCCTTAGACAGCAGTGCAGTTTTGAGTTCGGCATTCAACACGCTTGAACAATATAAATCTTAGCTTACCTCACCTTAGATGACCATTTCGAATGAAAACAATCTACTTATTAATTCGGTTTAGATGTAAGTGAAGCATGAGGCCTCTGAAGAAGACGAGAGAGTCAATTAGAGCCGCGACTTGAGATACAATGAAGAGATTGTTTATTTTTTGGTAAGAAAATCTAAAATGAGAGCCATTGCTAATGCTTGCAGTAAGTGGATGGCCACAGAGTTTGTGCTGTACGGGACGTAACTTTCGAAAAGAAATAAAAATTTCCACTGCTGATGTCTACATTTTCAGTTCAAGATATGTATGTTCCGCTTGACTTGTAAAAAATTGCAAGAAACTCAATTCGTATGTTTCCGACAGACTGCGAGCAGCGCTATATGATGGCTGTGAGCGCTAACTTATCTATCTGATGATCATTTGTTCCGCTCTTTCGCAAACCTCATGAATGGTGCATGTCTCGATTTGACTGAGTAACTTGAGCGCTGGTCAAATGAATTTCTTGGAATCCGGCGCGTTGCCGTTTGAAAAATTGAGAGTGAGGAGCTAACATGTGCCAAGAGGTCGTGCGCTACATCAAGGATTATACAGGGTGTCCCAAAAAATATTAACACTGTTTGATCGTTAATAACTCCCTTGCTTTCATGTCTTTTGCTGAGCTTGAGGCACAGGCAGCGATTCTGTAGAGCGACATTCAACTTAGATCAACGGTATGGAGTGAATCATCGATCGCTCTTCGTTACTGTAGGATTACGGTAGGAACTTCGATAAGGCTTTTAGGCCATCGGAAGCCATATTCTGCCTCGGAACAAAACCAAACAAACCAGGAACTCTTACACTATGGTAATGGAAGCCTGATTTCAAACATGAAATTTTATCTACCGTGGCACTTCATTCGAAGGTTATCCCAGGTAAACCTTGATAAATGATTTTCCAGCATTTGTCAAAGATGTGATTACACCGTCAAAAACCTAAAAACGTAAAAAGTTGTGTAGTAGAAGTGAAATTCTTAATACACGATTTTTCAGATTATTTGAAAAAAATTTAGTCAATGGCATATTTCACAATGGATCCACAGGCTAGAAGTTCATAACATATCCTACAGTAAGGAGGAACGAGGACGATGATTCGCTCCATACTGTAGATCTAAGTTGAACCTCACTCTACAGGACGGTGCCTTAGGCTCGGCGGAAGGCGTGATAGCAACGGAGTTATCAACGATCAAACAGTGTTAACATTTTTTGGGACGCCCTGTATTATTGACTGGTTTTTACTGTAAATTGATGATTATATTGGTTTAAAAACGCTACGAGCTTATGGAACGACCTAATAGAAACAAGAAAACCCCCAACTCAAAATTGTTGAGCAAATTTACAGATCGTAAAATTTTTTGGAGCATCTTTTATCTAAATAATCTACAATCTTTATCACTGTAGATTCATCATGTATGTCTATTCAATATATCTGATAGCTTGTCGTTGACAAACGTTACTGTTCACTAGCCACTTAAGCCGCCAGTCATCCCTCCACTATGCTTGATAGTTTACTTGGCGGCGCCTACTTTCATGTAGGCAATCCTTGATTTGTATAATACTGTTTGCCAGAAGTGAGCATTCAGGTTATCCACGCCCAAAATAGTGGCATAAAAGGGCCTGAATACTCAATTATGGTGTTGGTTCAATTAATACCACCATCGTCAGCGGCTGTTCCGCATATTCACTGTTGATAATTAGCGGCTGCTCCGCTACTATCGAATAAACAGTTATTAACGTAGTGTTACCAGCTTGGTGAATACCAAAGAGCAAGACTTATGTATCAGTTCAATCATAACTTATAATAACGGGCTAAGGGTTGTTTACGTTTTGGGTGTGTGTGTGTGTGCCTGTCTGTCCGTTACGAAATTCGTAGGGAGATCCAGCCAACCTCTTGAGCCCAAATTTTGCACAGCACATCCTAGCAGCAGGAAAGTCCATTGTGCAGAAGCACAGGCGGATCCGATAAGTGGATCCCCTAGAAATTGCGCTCGAACGGGTCCATTTAACTTCTGATTAGCAAAATTGGGTCCGTATATAAACTTTTTGCAAAGTCGTGGATACGTTTGACAAGCTAATATACAAGCCGTGAACTTTAGCCCAAAAAATTCAATCAAAGTTGGTTACTTTACGAAAATGGCGCCAAAAAGTATCAGTGCGTAAATGTTCAATTTGCCACGATTTTACGTGATCATTCGAGAAGATTTTTGCACAGAGATGTAGCCCACGATGATTATTGCCGTTATGGCGACTACAAGCCATGAGAAGTCCACAAACCTATTCAAATTTGCATTTATTCTTCTGAGAAAAGTTTCATCCGCGTGAAATTACCGATCTCGCACAAAAAGCTCTAGGAATGAGTAGCTGTTTACAAATCTTTCGTGATAGCCTGCATAACGCGGTGAACTGTCATCATTATGCGGGAGTTAGTAAGGCATACAGAATGTAAGGCCAGTGTGAGCCTCTGCGAAGCAGAGGTGACGCACTGGTACAATATAATAGTATTGCTCCGTGCACTTTCCTATTTAACATATAAAGAAAAAGTTATTTTTTGTTATTTTCTGCATTGCAGTACAAATAAAATAAAATTAATTGCGAGTGGAACTATGCCCAGGAGACTGTGATTTTTAGGATTACTTTGCTTTAAATTACACAGCAGCCGCAGCAAACGTTATCATGTTCAACTTCTCCCTCATGTTCTTCATTTTATTTGATTAGGCATACTTTTTCATCTGTGGCCGTATTCATCATTGATACCTTGAGGTAAATTCTACTCCAGGTAGTTTTATCACTCATTATCAGCAAGTACCCGTATTCACGTAATACTTTGAGGTAAATTCTCAATGTAATTTTGCTGATAACGAGTGATAAAACTACATGGAGGTAGAATTTACCTCAAGGTATCAATGATAAATACGGCCACTGGTCACTCCACACATTTGGTAGTTGACGAGTCGTAAAAGACTGAGGGCAAACTTTGAAAGATTTTGCGCATTCTCTTGTCTTTGTGCACTTCCTGCAAAGCAGCTCAAACTGGCCTAATTTTCGTGCAAAAATCGGAGCGGCGATTATAAAATGTATGTT